GACAATAACATAACAACAGCAACAAAACAGCAACAACAATAATAATAAAACAATGATGATGATGATGATGATAATGATGATGATTATGTTACATCTGAGACTCTACAGGCTTTAGTTAGCATGTTAAATATTAAAGTGCATGGCAGGATGTGAGGGTTCAGTATTTTGCTCCAACACTTTATCCAAGAAAGCACCCATTCTCTTTGGTTTAGAAATGGGAGTAACATTTATTGGGGTATTTGACAACAGTCCAGTGTCAACAAAAGCATTCCAAACGTTCTCCCCTTTAAACAACGGGCCTGAAGGGGGGTTCCAATCATCTACTTTGAAAGGGTTTTTACCCTAGCTATTCCAGGGTCCAGGCCACTCTGGTGGGGTGTCGGCGTTCAGTAGTAATCCCTCCTCTCCTTCCGGTAGGGGAATTGTGTCTTCCTCTCAAACGCCCACCCAGTCACACTCCCCGGGGGGTTTCCCCCATCTCCCACAGGACTCCAGGAATCCCCTCTGTTGGTTCTCCCAAACTCTCCATTCTAACCTCTCCCTTCGTTCTCTTTCAACTCTCCCCTTTTCCTCTCTCAGCTTTCTGCTCCACTCCTTAGTTTCTTGTTCACACCAATATGATGGTTTGGGGCTTAAGTCACGCTGCCTCAGCATGTCAGCTTCTTCCTTGGGGACCCGTAGTTTCTCCGTCTTTCCGGTCCATGGATCTTCTACCCAGATCCACTCCCAGCCTACTCCTTCTCCCTTCTTTATATCCACCTAACCCCGCCTCTACTATCTCCCATCTTTTTTCTCCCACGCCCGCCAAAGTAGTCCCAGGTTCTGCAATCATGAGTCCTTTCAAATGTCCCTCCAAATTCCCCAGGTCATGTCCAGGAGGTCATTGTCTTCTGGGGTGGGGGAACTGGTGGGGTCTGGCTCTTTCTCAACGGTTGGCGGGAGGGACAGCACTCCCGAGAGAGGGGTCTCTCTCTCTCTCTCCCTCCTTCTTACACAGGACAATTAGAAAAAGACTGAACAGGTATGGTTTGGTTGGAAGGTTTACCAGGAGAAAGCCTCTTCTCTCTAGAAAGAATGTGGCAGCATAGTTAGGTTTGCAAAGTTGCATCTGGACAAACCCCAAGACTTCTGGAACAGTGTCATTTGGACAGATGAGCCCAAAATGGAAATGTTTGGACATAATGCACAGCACCATATTTGGCAAAAACCAAACACAGCTATCAGCACAAACACCTTATACAACTTTCAAGCACAGTGGTGGAACGGTGATGTTTCGCCTTGTTTTGCAGCCGCAGGACCTGGTCACCTTGCAGTCACTGAGTTGATGATGAACTCCTCTGTATACCAAAGTATTCTAGAGTCAAAGGTGAGGCCACCTGACAGCGAAAGCATGGCCAAAATTGGGTCATGCAACAGGACAATGATCACAAGCACATCAGCAAATTTACAACAGAATGACTTGGGGGGGGGGAGAGAGAATCAAGGAGTTGCAATGGCCCCGTCAAAGTCTAGACTCCAACCTAATTGAAATGCTGTGGCAGGACCTTCAGAGAGCTGTGCATAAACAAAAGCCCACAACCCTCAATGAACTGATGCAACTCTGTAAAGAGTAGGCCAAAATTCCTCCACAATGATGTGAGAGACTGATAAGGTTATACAGAAAACAATGACTTCAAGGTATTGCTCCTAAAGGTGGTTCTACAAGCTATTGAATCAGAAGGTGTACTTACGTTTTCCACAGATGGCTTCTCCATTTTGGCTTTGTTTGTAAAATAAATCATGATGCAGTGTAATAAGTCTGAGGTTGTACTTGCCTAATTCCCAGACTTGCTAAGGACCAGATGATTTTTTACTTATGTCCTGATATATAAAACCATAGAATTCAAACAGGGTGTACATTCTTTTTCACATGCTGAGAGGTAACTTGGCAGGACATAACAACAGCTTTCGCCCTCAGCTGAATGGAGCATTTTTTCCACATATCCCAAAATGTCAAATAAATAAAAATCCTGCCATACTTTTAAGATTTATTTTACCATGAACATCTGACGAAAGCTCATGCTAAGCACTGGCTATGCATCTTATGAACAGGATTGTAATCCATGAGATTTCATGCTTAAATAGGAGTTTTGGTCTTAAAGGTGCTTATAGGCCTTTTTTTTTTTTTGCTATTATGTTGAAGAATGGTCTAATATGGTGACACCTAAGAAATTGCTACAAGAGAACTCGCAAGTTTATACATATGATGTAAAGGGGAAGAAGTTGCAAAACGAAGTACAGTAGTGCCTCGCAAGACAAATGCCTCGCAGGACAAAAACTCGCAAGACAAATGGTTGTGGCAATGGGGGGGGGTTGGTGGTTGATGACACACAAGACAAATGTTCCTATGGCCATGCTTCGCAGGAAGAATGTTTTCTGTTTTTTGTTCCTGCCTCATGTTTACTGATTTTTAAATGTTTTTCTATGATGTTTAAAAATGTAACATTTTTTTACTGAAATTTTTAAAATCATCTGTATAATATGTATGGCTTTAAAGAGCACTTAATAAACCCTTTGTAAGCCAAATTTGACTTTGTTCTGACTTGTTTTGCCCATAGGAACGCATTAATTAGATTTCAATGTATTCCTATGGGAAAATGCATTTGGCAAGATGAATTTTTTGCAAGACAACATTAACCGCGGAACGAATTAAATTCGTCTTGCGAGGCACCACTGTAGTAAAATACAAAAAGTACCCTTTGGGACAATTCAGGGATACCTTGAATGTATGGATTATGAACCTTCACAGCAGTAGTACTTGGTGGTTTTCCACCACAGAACAGGTTAGCAGAGTACCTAAACCTTGTCATTTCTTAGTGCTTGCCAAACTACTTTTGCAGACTGGGAAACACTGGCAAAGTTCAGAACTGGAACTGCATGTAGAACAAGGAACAAGACATCTTGAAAGCCAGAGACTAGGCAGACAGAAAGGATGAAACACAGAGGTCTTAGCCATCATGAAGAGTAAAAGAGAGTCTGTTCAGAAGAGTAACAAGGAGGCTGTGACAAGAAGCAGCGAGATGATCAAACTCGAACATGCTATCTGCCATTTTTACAGTGCTGGTAATAGGCTCCTGGAACTCTCCTGTCAAAAGATGACTCAAGCCTTCCCTCTCCCTAAACTGTGATAAGCTTTTTGGCCTCAAGATTCTTTACTCTAGTCTTTAACAACCAAACAAAATAACTTTTAGAAACCTCTTTTGCTCATCTTGCTTCCTGCCATTACTGGCTGTCTGGTGCTCAGCAGAAAATGCTTTGGCCACTTCAAGAAATCCCTTTGATTCATCATAACTGGATGCAAGGACAGAAAGGGGCTTGGGCCCCAGCAGGAAGATCCAGAGGGTGTCCCTCCCTACAGTAGCAGAAGATTAAGAAATGGGATTCAAAACTGGCCTCTTCTTCGAAGCATTTCCAACACAACAGGGGAAATCGGTGGGGTGGAATGCTCAAAACGCCACATACTAAAACCAAATAGCCAGTCCCAAACATAAGAGGAAGATAAAGTTCATGAGACTTATATAAGTACTACATGGCTCATTCATTCAATGGGTCTACTCTACTTGGGACTAACAGATGGATCTAGCCCATCAAAAATATGGGACACTGTAGTGTTAACAGAGTTCAACTGATCATGTACACGGATTTCCTCTTATCCTTTTAATGTTATAGAGCAGTGGATCCTAACTTTGGTTAACCCAGGTGTTCTTGGACTGCAGCTTCTGGCCAGCATAGCTAGAGGTGAAGGCTTCTGGGAGTTGCAGTCCAAGAACACCTGAATTATCTAAGGTTGGGAACGTTCGCACTAGAGAATCTGCCTCAGCAGCATAGGTGTTCAAGAAACTAGCTACATGCATGATGCATAAAATATGACAATTTTATCTGCTCAACTGATCTTGTTAACATGAAACATAGGGAGTTCCGCTGAGTTTTAGACCTCCAACTGACCTCACTGGTCATACAATCTCCTAAATCAATGGGCGGAAGTCCAACTTAAGAAAAAGAAACCATAAACCATTCTAGACTAATATTAAGGAACATGAAAGTTGCCAGGCCATCACAAAAATATTTCTTTTTTGGGGTCTTAACTCTTGTGTTTAAACAAAAAGAGAGGAATGCTTTTAAGTCATTCTTCAATTGTTACTACTTTAGACTGCGGGAAGCTGAATGACTAATATGCCTGTTATATAATCCACCCTCATTCTGTAGAAAATCAGATGCCAGAGGAAAAAGTTCAAGTCTAGCATTCTTCCCAACGCTCTTGTTTCATACACGCAGAGAATCACATTTCCATCACTGCTAGTGGTGGTTGAAACGGAGTACAAAAACCGTAAAAGTTCCGACCCAAGATGAGTTTGGCTTTGGTGGGTTTTTTTTTTTAAAGCCACCATCCGCTCCACTTTGTGGCTGCGTCAATGATGGTTTCACCATGGCAACAGCAGCAGCAGCGATTCCCAGATACCAAGACACACTAGGACGGCTGTGTCAGTCTCGTTATCATTATTTAAAGGCCGAGTCGAGTAGCACTTCTGAGACTCATTTTAATACAGCATAAACTTCCACAGACTGTAACCTCCTTCAGATGCCAGAAACGCTTGGCAGCAAGCAACAGAAGGCAGTTAATGCTATGTACTCTTGATATAAGTATTTGCACAAAGGTGCCAAAGGAGTAGAGAGGGCAGCAAGACATGAATTATTCTTGCAACAGGACAGGAGAATCTGATACTGAGCTGAAACGTGCAGCTTTTGTGATTCCTGGAACAATTTTAACAAAGGAACGTCTGCCTCCAACTATGATCTGCAAACGAAGATGAGCAGCTCAGCCACCACTTCTATAAAGCACGGGTCATTAAAGGCAAAACAGACCCTCCAGATGCCCAGGGCAGATCGTTTACCGCAGAAGGACTGGAGCAATTAATTTGGGATGCAAAGAGACGACAGCAACTTGACACTTGCTCGGAGCACCTCTGAAGATCACACGGCATTTATTGCAAACCCACATCATTAGTACAGAAAACAGAATTAAATTCTCATTCATTTTCCCCCCACCCCCTCCCCCAGTGGCCAGCTGGGCTGGAAGGCAGCATGGTTACGATCTGATATCGGAGGGAGCGACTGACTGACTGGGTCCCACAGAGGCAGGAAGACGGGTCCTTGAAGGGCTACAACCCCCTCAACCACGGCAGACCACATCCGGCAGCAGGCTCCAGGCAAGGCTGAAAAGGAAACAATACGGGGAGTTATGCCTTCTATCCTAATGCCACTTGGTAAGTTAATCACCAATCTGGATTCTACTGAAAATGATTCAGAATGATCTTAGATGGTAAGGTGGAAGCATGATTTTTAATTTTCCTACAGCACCTAGTGATTATAGGCACATTATACCTAATAAGCAGAAATGCATTATCAGGAAGTCAAACCAGTAAGAATTTAAGGTCAGTGCCAGTTCAAGATCATTAGAGTTAACAACTTGCTCTGGTTTGGTTCGGCTACTTTGCACCCCTTCTTAACAACCTTAGATGCATTTCATGCCGGTTAAGGTCATAAACTCTTATGATTGCCATAGTAACTCCTAGAAAAAGTGTACAATAATATTTGACCTGTGGGGGGGGATACTGTTAAAAAAACAACAGGCTTACCTGTATGCGCTAATGCCACATTCTTGAAACATGTTTTCAGTAGTCAAATAAAAGTGACACAGCCAAATTAAACTTCAAGGGTTTTTTCTATGTTGACATCCATAGCAAGGAAGTTTCCTAACTGCCTATCTACTCATCCACTCTCTCTCTCTCTCTCTCACTGTCTCACCTAGAAAATGACAGCGATTAGAATGCCATTGTAAACATGGGATGTCCCAAATTCGGATGCGCCACTGATTTGATTTAAACATGCTACAGGTTTAAGGCAGCAGATTTTAGGTTGAGTTTTCTGTTCCAGTTTCCTGCCTCAGAGCCACTTTAGATTCACACTCGGTTTGATTCCCCGCTGTGTGCTGGGCCCAACAGAAAATCCAATTTCTAAGCTGAAAAATCGTATAAATCAAGTAAATCAAGGCCCGCTTTCTTTGCTTCGTCGTCTTCTTTTTTGGTTTAGCTCATTTTGCTTTTAAGATGTGGGCCTTCAAAAGAATTTGAGATCTATTGGCAAGATTTGGAAATGTGAAGGGTGGCATAAACACGGAGGCTATCGTGTCAGGAAACAGCAGCCATGCAAAAAAGCGGTGCACGATGCCCTGCAGCTTAACTGGAAATCAGGAAATACCATCTTGTTCCCATTCTCTAAGGAGCAGTTCTAAAGATTCAGATTCTGACACCAACTTCTATTAGTAAAAGCTAAAATCCTGGACTGTCATAATAACTGGCCCAAATCCTTCATTTTAATTATTGTGCTATGGGAAAGCTGCACAGTCTCAGGGTGCCCCCAGAAGAAGAGAATGGTAAACCACTTCTGAATATTCACTACCTAGAAAACCCTGGAAAGGATCACCATAAGTTGGAAGCTCAGTGGATAGCTCAGTGGTTTGGATATCTGACTGTGGAGCCAGAGGTTGGGAGTTCAATTCCCCACTATGCCTCCTGTGGGTATGTCAAGGATAATTTCCAAACCTGAGACAGAACAAGGTTTGTGTTAATTAGCAGCCATGTTTGCACAGAAATGCAAGATGCTGAGTCATGCAGAATGCTGAGTCATGGATTATGCAATATCTGCCGTGGTTGGCTGTATGCAAATATGTATATGCATATATGTATGGAGATGTACTGTAGATGTTTCGGATCTCTTCCTTGGATGTCATCCTGTCGTGCTGCCGGTTGGAACTGCTGTAAATACTGTAAATACATTTTGGTGTTGGGAGAAGCTGCCTGTGTGTGAGAGAGTTATTTGGACTGCCTGGATTGGACAAGACTCTGCTAACTTTACACCAGTTTCGCGCCAACAGAGTAGAGCCAGCCCAGGTAGCCCTGGGCAAACTGCACAGTCCCAGGGTGTCCACAGACAAAAGGAACAGCAAACCACTTCCAAGTATTATCCACTTGAAAAACCCTGGAAAGAGTCACTAGAAGTCAGAATTGACTTGACAGCACATGATGATCCTTATTAAAATGTTGTGACACATTTAATCAGTTGTTTTCCCTGCACAGGCTAACCTTTCATTTGAAACTGTCCTTGAGGCTCTACTCGCCTTGGCTTAGCTGATCATCTTATCAAAAAAAGCGAGACTGCCTCAACAATTCTGAAACTCCATCTAAGGTAGGTGCACCCACGGGCTCTGTTTTGGGACACGGTGGGAGGTGACATCAAACCCACTGCCTGCTTCCAAGAAAAAACCTGCTCTTTATTTCACAGCCCTATGTTACAATGTGCTTCTTGGTCTCAACCTTTGAGAGGAACAACATGTTGGAATGTAAAGGTTCCAAAATTATTCCAGGGATCAGGATTTAGCACCCTAAGAACCTAAATCTGTTTAAAAGCAAGCCAAGAGGGCTTCACAGTTGCAACAAAAATTAGGCTTCACATGTCTGTAACCAATGTCCAACCAAATCTCAAAGGAAGCCAGGAATAAGTGCCTTGCATAGCCTTTTGTCAAGCTCCAAAGAAGTCAGCTTTATGTAAACCTTCTCATCTTGCACAGGTTACCAAAATCAGCATTTCTTAGTACTATATTGAAGCAATACGCTTCTGCTGCACTGACAGGTGTAACACATATATTGTCCTTACCAAACTTGTTGAAAGCTCAGATCAGCCCGCTCTCTTTGAGTTTCACTACCAGATCATCGACCGTCTCCACCTTTACTCCTGCTTTGCGCTGGGGAGGATCCTCCACACTTAAAATTTTCACCCGTGGGGTAAGGTCCACACCAAGATCAGAGGGCTTCACCACCTCGATCTTCTTCTTTTTAGCTTTCTGGGAGCCAAAGGAGAATGAAAAAGGCAGGGATAACTTAACTGTAGCTTGTTGCTAGAGCAAGGGCGATTGGTTATTAGAATCTTTCGTCACCAAAACAAGGATTCAGGACTCATCTTAGTTAAGTTCCCTAAATTAAAGAGGCAGTTGAACAGTCTCCAGTTGCAGTATGTTGTCCAAAGTTAAGGAATGCCTACTACACAACATCTGGACCATACCATTATGTTGGGCAAGGTGGCATAACGTGGCTCGTTTAGTCGTAGGTCAGCCGTCACCACCGCTGGAAGTTTCAGACGCACTGTCTCCAGACCCCCATCAACTTCACGCTCAACCTTTAGCCAGTCCCCATCCACAGTCACTTCGGAGGCGAAGGTCCCCTGGGAAGGGAAAAGAAGCGCTGCTAGGTTACCAAAGTGACAGGTTTTGCTTTATATAAAATACAATAAACACCTCAAACTAAAGTCTTGTATCTTCCTACACAGTGCAGAGGGACCTGTAAAAAGGTGGCGTTGAACACAATGCAATGCTCAACAGTTGTTTAATTTATTTATTTATTTATTTATTGTATTTATACCCCGCCTATCTAGTCATTTCGACCACTCTAGGCAGCTTACAACATAAAGGATAACAAGTTCAAGAAAAATTTATAACAATTAATTAATTAAATGATTCTGCAAGATGGGAAAAATACAAAATAAATCAAATAAAGAGAAAAGGAATAAAAAAAGGAAAGAGGACAGGAATTAACTGGAAGGGAAGGCCTGCCTATA